ATTCTTTCTTTATGGAAAGGAATCCTGGATATCGCAAGACAGCTATTTAAAACACAATGGAAACATTCTACATAAGATTTGATTTTTCAAAAAGGTTGTGCTACTAAATGACAAGTTTGAAAAAGTCAGCCCCTGATCATTGGGACAATGGGGTGGGAAGGTGAAGTTCCATTCACAAGACCCTTTTGCTTCTACTCTACCCTTGACTGCTAAGATCACTTCTTTCTCTTTCCCTTCCAGCCCCTGCAGCTCTGAGGTCCTGCAGCCACTAGGTAGAAGCAGAGATTCCGAGCTAAAATGGAGATTTCCTGTGGCCAGGATCCACCACACAGGATAGTGATGCTGCTTCAACACCAAGGCAGCCTCCGCCAGCCCCTCCTTCCTTACTCTAGGTAGTACCAACTTGGAAGGCAAAGTAAGTAAATGCTAAGATCTCAGGGCTTTGGATTCTTATCTTGACTCTACGTTTGCACTGTGAACCAGGAACTTTCTTTTGGCTGTGTCACTCTATGATTTAATCCATTGATCAGTGAAATCTGCTAATGACATGTGATGAGGGACAAAACCAACAGGTAACGGTCAAGACAAATAGAAACATTGAGCCTGGCCCCATCCCTCTGGGAAAATTCCAGAAAAGTAAGGGGTAGATGGAAAGACAAAAACCTAGAAAAGAAAGATGTGATGCAGCTGTGAGCTGTAGAAATGTTCATTTTGCATAAACATATGTTAAGACTTATTCTATAATTTATATTAGTTACAAAGGGGCCTTATTTTCATTATAATTGTCCAAATAAATGTGGTCACCCTCAAACACTGCAGCTTCAGTTTCATTATACTTCACATTATTTAGCCATTATACAAGATAAGCCTACGTCAACCACAAAATCTCTGTATTGCAAAAATGTGTCCACATTTATGCAGAAACATTTCAATTTAGAGAAATGACATATTATTTCAAATAAGAGGAATGACCAAATAGGTGGATAATCCCTGAGAGCTGGTTACTAATCTGAACTGTACTAACACTTCATATATTTATCCTTTATGTGTCTAGATATCCTAAAAAGTGGTAGGCTTGTTAGTTTGGTAACTTTCCAGTACTATCTGAAAATTCAACCAATCTAAAACAAGATCAGCCATAATTAACTGTTGAAGATAAGTAGTAGGTTCATGGAGCCTTTTCACTGTACTTTTTTGCATGTTTAGATTTTCCCATCATAAAGATACATATATGTGTGTGCGTGTGTGTGTATATGCCTTCCCTGAAATCTATTTTAAAATAGATTCAGTCAGCCTCATCTAAATCTTTAGTGTGATAGAAGTCACACACTAAGAAGCTATGCCTAGGAAGAGTAACACATTATTCCTGTTCCCTTAGGCTCTGCTTTGCAACTGATCATTCTTCGTTGGATAATCTTCTCGTACTTCCATCACCCACTCATTCACAGCTCCTGTTCTCAGATGTCACTATAACCTTTCTCTTCAGTACTTCACTCCCCCAGGCAGTCAAATGGAAAAGAGAAAATTCCTGTGCCTAATATGATTAAAGTTCTATTATATATCCTATAGTTTGAGGTGAGCAGACATGATCGCAAATAAATCTCTCTAGCAAAAATAATGTAAGACCATAGCAAAATACAAAACAACTTTCCAAAAATTCTAAAAACAGTAAAGGAATCCCTACCCCATATCATTTTGGGGGAGGCCTTATAGTTTTTGTATATAAAAATCAATAGCTTGCAAAAAATTTTAACCAAAATGTGAATAGCAAAAAAAATACAGTGTATTTGCCCTTCGACAGGACTGTAAGGATTAAAATTTATACTTTGCCGCTTTAGCTGGATTTCTGTGAGGGCTCTCTCTCTACCTTCCAAAATAATAAAGTGGCTGTCAGATCTTTCATTTAAACCCTTATATCAGTTTCCTAGTTATATTATTTTTCTTTCCTTCCTGCTTTTTCTTTCTTCCCTTCCTGCTTTATGACATTAACAAGCTAAGTGGGACCCCTACCCTTCTGTCTCAGGTTCCCCCATTCTAGCTCTGCCTCATAACATACGTTTGTATTCACTCAATGACCTTTCCTAGGCACGAAGCTTCAGTCATGACCAGGACAGTCTTCGAGATCACCTCTCCTTTGACCCTGGAGATCCCTTGTACCATTGCCCCATCTTGCAGAAAGGTGAGGAGTTATTTAACTAAAGCCTTGGTTTGGATTCAAGATAACTGTTGCCAGGTTTTGGATTTGTTATTAACAAAACCTATGGACAAATAATATGTATTAAATAAAATCAAGATGCGTCCAACAGTTCCAGTGAAATTGAGGGGATATTTTCAGGCCATTCCCACTAGAGGGCACTAGACCCTGCACTATGTCCTCCATCACCTCTAGGACTCTGCCTTCTCCATGCTCCCCTGCCCCTTACAGCCCCCACAGCCCACCAACCCTGTGATTCTAAAAAGCTCTTCAGCGTACATAACAAGATCTAGACAGAATTGGGGCCTTCTCTATTGGAGAAAATTGGAATTCCTGAAATAGATTGTGTACTCGCCCTACAGATGGAGCTCAAGTCCTATCTCAAGTTTCCAGATGCTGCCTCAGTAAGTGTTCTAACACCTCCTTATGCTCAAGGGCTCCAGAGGCAGGCAGACTTGAGCAGAGAGAGTCTAAGGGCAAAAGTGGAGGTGCCAGGAGCCCATAAACAATGAAAGATCTTATCAGTCCCTACATATCCTACCCATAACCACACTACATGCCTATTGTTCCAATAGTTCCTACACATCACAATCCTGCTCTAGCTTCATTTTTCAGACTAGTGAGAACTGAAGTCCAGTTGTCCAGTCACTTCTAATCAGCCTCCCTTGGCATCTGGCCACCACTACCACCATCCTCTTGGGCAGGAGTTATAGTAGATCAATTAGATAGCAGGATCCTAATGACCAGCTGGAATGTGTGGGGCCCTTTTGCCTTCCAGCCATGAGAACAGCAGATCAGGCCAAGCCCAGAAGTGGTTTATCTCCAGTGCCCTCCAGCCAGACTGCCAGGAGCAGAACCGCGGCCAGTGAACAACTTCTGAGTGCCCACAGAGGTGGGAGACACACACTGCGGGGAGCCGGGGCCGCCTCAGGAAGAGGGCCTTGGGACAAGCTTACAGGGCTGCAGCTTTCGCTTGGCATCTTGGGGAGCATTCAAGGAACAAAGGATTCACTCTGGAGTGGTGGCAGGAAGTGGGAATAATTCTTTGTGCATCTTAATAAACCTCATCTAGGACAGACGGGGGCAAAGCTGACACTGTCACTGGCCAAGCAGCAGAGTGAGTCAGGTTTGGCGGGAGAGGGGTGTTTGTTATTCTGTGGTTTACAGTGACCTTGTTTCTGTCTATGCTTAAATAAAATTATGAAGTGGGCTTGTGTTTCGTCTCACTTCATCGTAGTCACAGCATGACCTTGTCTGAGGTTGGGGTTCTGTGAGCTTGTTTATGTCCAGCGGGAACACACCCTGGCCCAGCTGGAGAGCCAGGTCAGCTCCCAACACCCAAGGCACAGCTCTCCAGGCTGGTTCTGGCTGTCAGGACTGCTTTTCTTTTTCCCAGCTCTCTTTGGCTTTGTCCTCCATGCCTGGAAGATGTGGTAGGGACTAGATAAAACCAAACCACACAACATGGTACCTCAGCATTTCTTATGTAACCAGCTATTACATACTTACCATCGTTGCATGCAGTTGTTTCTAGTTCCCTTGAGGACCTTTGGAGCAGGACCCCTTTCCCAAATACCACTCATTAGCATCCCAACCCCACCATTATGCCCAACACCTGACCTAAGTGACAGAGCTCCACCAGCATCATCCAACCAGGAAGCTGGCGGGACCTGAACTCAGAGCTCCTGCCTCCTGATCCTTTGCTTCCCCACACGCCAACGATGGCACCAGCCAGTGACTGACCCACACGAGAACCTGGACTTTTGATTTCAAGTCCAGTAGGACTTTGCCACACCACTCTTGAGTTAAACCAAAATTCTCCCATCAGCGATCAAGGTCAGGGCAATACAGAAAGTGACTGAGTCTGTAGGTTGTCTATCAGCCAGAGGCACTACGGGGTTCACTGGGGTCCCACCTAACCCCACAGGATAAATGCACACACTAGGGCACACATTGCAGTGAGACCCATGGCCAGCAGTGGAGCAGTAATGGTAGAGGGTCTTAACCTTATTCCCCTTCTTGCTCCTCTGTGACTCCCACCTCCTAAAACCTTCAGACTCTTCAGAGGACACCGTCTGCAGACAGGGTCAACCGATGAACACCTGGTTCTGCTCCATCCCACAGCTTTCACCCAACTTCTGCTGAAGCCTCATATATCCAAATTAGCAATACAACATACCTAGCAACTTATACTTACTTTTGTTCTCTGGGTTTTGGGATTACAGAAAATATATGCAGAAGCAACTTCTTTTCAGTTGTCAATTTATTCTGGGGTGCAAGGGAGGCCAACAGAATGAGTCTCTTCTTCATAAAGGTTTTTCAGCCCATTAAAAAAATACTTTTCTACCCCTTATTGAGAAACATGCAGTTCTCAACCTGAAGACAAGCTTGATAGTGAAGAGACTTGGCTTCTGCAGAGGATATGAAAGCTCATGCTTATATTGTCCTTGGTTTATTTTCGGTTGTCTCAGCATAGAATGTTCTCTCTGGCAAGGTCACTTAAAAGAAACTCTGAAATACAGTAGAGTTGGATCACAGGAGGAGGACTTGGTTAAATACACAGAAATGGTGGCTTCAACTATTAAATTATTTTGCATCCTGCCAACTAAAATCTGTTTTTTTCCTCCAAGCCCCCCACTACTGAAGGAGATAAGAAAATAAAATTTCAACACACAAGTACCCAACTTCCCCATGAAGTTTCTGCAGAATTGCATACCACCTTAACACAACCTGGGTGCTCAGTGGGAGGAGGAAAGAATGAAAGACGCATCTGTGCAGCTTACAACATGAATACAATATCCCAAGGTTGTTAATAAATACTTTATTTATGAATCACCATATGGGAAAGGAACATATAATTAGGAATGCTTTTTACAAAATCTAATGTTTCTGACTCCGATGTCTCATAACCAAGATGAAGTTACTTTTCATTTGTTTGTAAGCTCTTAGTGTGCTTTGTGGAGAGCACTATCAAAGCCTAGGAGGACCCAAAACAGGGAACGCAGGTTGGTAAGCCAATAAAAGCAGCAGCCACAGTTTAAAAACTCTCATGCCCTGATTGACTTCGATAAGTCTGGATAGGCTCTAATAATTTGGTAATATTGTAAAGTTTGGATATTTCTACTCATAAAATCCACTATTAAGACTTTCAGCATTCTGGCTCTTGTAACATGAGAAGAGGCAAGATGTTGAAGTCCATGTGGCAACAAAATGGATTTACACGTTGTTTTTAAAGGACCCTAGAAGGAGCTAAGAGCAGGCTAATGCAACACAGAGAGCAGGCAGGGAGGAAAGTGGGGGCCTAAGAAGTGGATCCAAACAAAAAGGGGAGCAGCCTGCCTTACCTGCCAGTGGCCATCTGAAACAGTGCCCACCTGCTGGGTAAGACCCAGGCTCAACACACCATGCTCAACTGTGATGGATTCCCTCCACACGGTGTCTCCAGTTTCTTTCCCACAGACATTTTTTTTGCCTGAGGCAGGAAACCAGAAGTATCCTATCTGCTTCCCCTTTTTACCCACCGCCTCCCAGCACAATGCCTCACATAATAAGTGCTAAATAATCATTTAATTAGCAATCTCAACACTTCTGCTTCTCTCAGACAAGTCTAAGTGGTTTGTCTTTAGTACTACCCCATAATCAAAATCTTCTCTCAAGAAAAAAACATTAGGAATATTTTAAGCAAGTATTTTATCTTCTTATAAATATAAGTCAATGGAAATGGAAGGCTTCATTCTCTGTTAAAGGTGGTTTAAATGTCAATGAACAGAGAGGGAGGGAAATTTGGATAAATGGAGAATACTTCTCATTCTCCAGCAATTGTGTTCCACTGGCAGTGACAGAAGACCTTACACACCCAATGTGACAGACGGGCAAATCAAGGCCTAGAAAAGACAAGCATTTTCCTACAGTCTTCATGGCAGATGGTGATTTTTCTGTGACTTTATTGTGGCTTTCCCAACAAAACTCTGTTCCAGCTCAGACAGGTTCAACTGAATTGCCTCCAGAGAAGATGGACAGAAACTGGAGTCTTAATGACACATTGTCCCTCTCCTGGCTTGTGGGTTTGTATTCACATAATTGGGCCCAGGCAAATGCATTCAGATCAGTCACCTGCCCACACATGAATCCCCTGAAGTGCCTGGTTGGGGGGAAAAGCATTTAGCAATTTAACAGTAAGCTTGAGTCCCCACCCTGGGAGGCCACACCCCAAGACCACAGGATGAGGCCCAGCACCTGCCCCCTGCTGGCATGCATCCAGCTGGGGGGCCCTTAAGCTCAAACTGCCCAGAAGCCTGCACCTGTCAGTCCACCAGGGCCAGGTCCACACAGCTGAAAAATTACAGGCCCTTATTTTGGGACTGTATCTTATTCTATAACTGGTCAAGGATATTTTTAAAGGCAAAGTCCCACCTAAGCAATTCACTGTGATGCTTAATATGCTTCTCCTGAGTCTTTTGTTTCACTGATATCCTCCATTTGCTATTCCCCAAATTCAGGTTTCTGGACTAATTCTGTTCATCTTACTCACTCAAAAAAGTAGTGAGTTATCTCCAGAATACTGACTTTATCAACCTTGACAGTAGCACCACCTTTATATATTACAATGACCAAAATGTTCTTTACATTTCCATGGCTTCAAAATTAAGTTTGGAATGATTACGTGGACATGAGACTTGCCAGTAATTCACATTTTATAAAAAGGATTTTAAGTTCATGTGTGTAACATTACCCAGATGTAATTCTCTAGCAAGAGAATTCCTATTTTATTTATTTTTTGGCAAACAATTTTAGAGGCAGGGTGTTAAACTGATTGAAATTTCACAAGATTGACATTATTGCTTAAAGTGCTTAAATTGGTTACATTAAAAAAATTAGGGTATAGATTAAATAAAAACAACTGTTTTTTAAGCAACAAAATCAAATGCCACACAAATACAGTAACTATTTTGGTTATACAGAAATGGAAGCCAAAAATAAATTAATGTAATACTGGGAAACAATTAGGCAGAAATGTAGGAAACAATTTTCTCCAACCCATGCCATTTACATGAGTGAATCACAATAGTGCCAATAAATGCCTTGACCATATAAGGGCAAATAAGGGCAAAACATTTACTGCACAGTATTTTAATACACATGAATATACAAAGTTGATCAAAATGCAATGTTTTAAGATAAAATCCATCTGTAATAAAGCTACACTCCAATATCTAAAATAAGCCCTAAGCTCCAGTTAGAACATAGTTCACTGTTAGGCATGCCCATGAAATCCAGGGTATCCATGAAAATATATGCATAGGGACTATTTCTGTCATTTTTTTCCATTTCATCTGAAATCCAAAATATACCAAGCCATAGGACCAAGTATGCCTGGCTTCCTATTCCAGGCAACACCCTCTTGCGTTGCTCCCTGGCTCTCTTCAAGCCCGTCCACTTCACGGCGCCTCCGAATGTAAAATGCATCGACATGATAGGACTGGATGTCAGAATTTTATCAAAACTTCAAACAAATGCCTTTTTAATGTAATGTACCATAATCTAGATGCAAACTAGTAACCAATAAAGCAAATACTTCTTTTTTAAGTGTAAAACACCCACCAGTTAGAAATACAGCAGGCCTACTCACTCCTGCCAGAAAATGACACATGAGTACCCTGGCTGTTGGAGGGGACACTGCTGGGCCTTTGTGCTGCCACTGACCTCAGAATGGCCCCACAGAACCCACAGCGTTCTCTGCTCTGTGTGAGCAATGAAAAATGAAAAAGTGTTTGCATGCTCTGTCTTTACACAAAGTGAAATGGCTGGGGGAGTGGGGGTGGGAAATGTAGCTGCCTAGTGTTTTGTTTCATTTATTGAAGAGGAGAGGAGAGGAAGAAATTGTCAGCTCTAAAGTTTAAAAAACTGATGGAGCATCAGTGGGTAAGTGCAATTTGGTCTTTTCCCAACCTCCTTTTCCTGTATCACACAACCATTTTAATGTCTTGCATGATCTTCTATACTTATCTTTTTATTTAAAAAATCTGCCCATGAATACTGAATTTTAACTGACCCTTTCTATTAAATGGAATTAGTTAAGTCATTGCAAATAGCTTTGCATTTAAAAAAAAGTGTACTGAATTTATGATTTGGCATTTAGATATTACTTCTCTATGCTTCCAATTGAAACTTTTTCCCCTAATAAATTAGCTTCAAGAGTAATTTCAAAGATAACTTTAATACTTTTTCTTATGAATCAGTGCCAAATATATAAGATATCAACCATCATTCTTTTAAAATTTGCAACCTTCAATCAAATATATGGGTTATATATAGTACAAATAGTTCCCTAAATCAATGACCTTCAATTGGCAAGTGTCTCTCCTTAAAAACAGAATAAATACCACCTTCTAGGTAAGTGATTACTGAATATGCTTAGTGGAGGAAAAAAAAGACAAAATATTTATAAATAAGAATTTGCCTCTAAATAAAGCAAGGTATGTTTTCATCATTTGTACAAAACAATAATGTGAAGATCACCCTGTTTTTATCTTCTCCAGTAAAGAGTAAAACATTTCACTTTAAGTGTGAAAAAATGAGTTGTTGGCATACTTAAATTCTGAGCAATTAACTGTTCGAGATATTTCAAAGATAAGAAATCCAGTTTTCATCTAGATAAAGTGCTATGCTCATAATTGTTGCAAAATGACCACTAACATTTCCAACTTCAACTTCAGTTCACATTATGCCAAACATTTGCATGTTCGTTTGCTGATTTATTAAGGTAACAATAGGTTCACAGTATGTTACAGGGTATGGACATCAACTGACTTCCAAAAGGAAGCAACCAAGATCTACGACTCAGGAGTGTTTGTAGGAAACCAAAACCAGCTTAACGTAAAACACCAAACCAACCCTTTTAATAAAAGGTACCAATAATCAGATGTTCTAATAAATACATATATAACAAAAGTGAAAATGGTACAAGTTACTACGATGAGATGAGGTTCTTCCAAAAAACTCCACCTTGTCAAGCATTCTAGGAGTCTGAGCCAAAGAAACGCCATCATCTTGTTCGTTCCTGCACCTGCCCGCGGACACTTCCTTTGACCCACCTTCATACCCAGCTAGCTCCAGCACTGCCTCTGGGGAGGGCTCCCTCTTAGCCCTGGGACTTGTCAGGGCCTCAGTTAACAGGCTGGAATGTTCAGTGAGGGAGGTTGTACAAGGCGGCTGATGGTGGTGGAGGTGCAGAGCCTCCCCTCTTCCCGATGATGTTGGTACTGACCGGCTCAGCAGAGCTGTGCAGCCACAGGGTGTCTCAACCGTACGACCACAGCCTGAGGGACACCAGGGTGACTGGGAAGATACCTTGGAAAGCTTAGCAGTGCCAGAGAAGGGACAGCACAACTCACAGGACCTTACAGAAGAAAAGTGCCACTAGAAGCAGCACATTTATTTTCCTCAAACTTGGTTTTGGTAGAAAGATTAAAACAGTGACTTTTCGCTGTCCACAGAAGCTCCCTCCTCTTGGCTTTGGCTGCCCTGCGCTCCACACCATCGCAGCTCCCAGAATCCTGGAGGCTAGATGAGCACAGCCTAGGCTGACACAACTGCGGTGAACAACTCCTTGCTGTTCCACCTGAAGGATGGTTTCAGTATGGAGGTTACTCACTTTTAAACAATTCATTTGCACAAACTTAAAGCTATAGCGGCAGCCCTAAAAGGTGAACACCTACTCAGTTCTTCAGTCCTTCTGTCAGAAAAGAGGCAGAGAAGCTAAAAATGGGTGGCAATGTCTCCAGGGACAAGTTAAAGCAATGCACTGACAGGACACCCTGGAAGCCATTTAGGAAGTTCAGAAAAAAACCAAAATAAACTGTAGACATTTGCAGGAAATGTCATTCTAATTCAGCAAGACATAGCCAGTGACATAGCATTTACCCCATCCTGAAATTAGCAACTGTTATTCATGTAAATCTTACCACAATCTGATTGCAGTTAACTCTACCTCAGATGAAAATAAAACCACACGTAGTGCTGCATGTAAAAAAACAAAGGAGGAGAGAGTCCAATAGCCAGACCGTTGACACTTGGATTAATACCACTGGTGGACCAATGGGGAAGAAGAAAGTCTGCAGAGAAACTGGGTACTAGTGCTTTGAACATTTCCCCCACTTGAATTAGTCCTACAGCTCTTTAAGTCATTCTCTTGACTGATAGAATAAAATATATCCAGATTCTGAATTTTTTGATATATCTGATGTCAACCCATAGAATTCCTCAATAGCTTGGGCATCAATTTTCTGCAAAAGACAGAAAGAACAATTAATTGTCTAACAAGAGTGGAAGAAGGAAAGAAAAACTAATGGAATGTACAAGAAAACATAAGAAACACTGCTTGTTATAAAATCACAGTTGGAACTTTGAATAGCAAAAAGGTAATTCCACTTGACAGAGGGATGTGATTACATAAGTTGTTAATCACTGGGGAAGAAAGCCACTCTTGAATCTATAAGCAACCACACGTGGGCACTCTTTCAAGCAGCCAGGACTCCTGTTTCTCAGCTGGCACACTGGGGAGTCTTGGTCAGGTAGTCGGAGGGGCTACCCCAGGGCTAACAGCGACTGTGTCTGTCAGGGTGGGATTCTTTCCAGCTAGGGTTCCCTTACAACAAAATCACAATATGGAATACTCTGGTGTAATATAAAGATTTTCAGGTTCAAGAGACTGAAAAACTATTTAAAAATAATAATCAGTACAAGAAAAACTTGGTATCATGAATAATTTTAACACAACCTCAAAGTTATTATTTGGTTTATACCAGAGAGGGTTTTCACCATGGTAGGAAACTGGGCTTATATATAAATACGATTTACGGGGGCACAGAGATCCCATGTCTCTGGCTGAGCAGCTGCCCTAACAAGAACACAGTATTAATGAGTCCATGATCACACCCCTTTCGCCCTTTCCACAGAGAACAAGCAACAACAGAATTTAGTCTTGAGAGAAATGTAAGTTGTTTTCAAGTCAGACTATGGGAAAACATCCCTGTTTTGGAACATTCTACAGACACACATCCCCAAAATAGTGTCTATGCCCTACCCTACTGTAGAATAATCTGCATACTAACCTCTACAATGTCATCATCAAACAAAAGCCAGAAGCCATGGCTTTTCACAATAGTAATATAATGCCCACGATTAGGACCACTGGAAAAAAACAAACAAAAGAAAGTTACCAAGATAACATTTATTTCTTTATAAAATTCTATGTAGCTCTTTATAAGCAGTGATTTACTAAGAAAAAACCTTATCATCAGGACAGAGAACTTGGTATAGGTCATGTCTATGTCCACATTCATTGGGCCACAATTTGGAGAAACACCCAGGTGCGGGCACTGTGCTGGGCATAAGGAAATGCAAAGATGAGTCAAACATTTATCTTCTAAGGACTCACACTCCAGGGGGGAAACAGACATTCAAATTCAACAAATATTAACAAATAATTACTGTCTACCTACTCTGTGCCACACCCTACTCTATCAGCAAAAAAGCAGTGAACAGAACAAAGTCCCCACTTTCTTGGGCTGAGGGCTAGAAAGGCAATAAATAAATTAAAATATAAATACATTTCAAGTGGTGGTAAGTGCCATGAAGAAGAATAGAGTAACAAGACAGTGTGTGAGAGGGAGAAGGTATCAGAGAAAAATTCCCAGAGGGAAATGGGGCAGGGAGGTGGGGCGGTGGACAGACAGGGATTATGGTAACAAGCTATGTGATTATAGGATGGAAATTCCCGAACAGGGAAGAGCAAGTGCAAAGGTCTTGGTGGGACAGTAGGTTCTCGGTGTGCCTGAGAACAGCAAGGAAGCTAGAGCTGAGGGAGGCAGTGAGGGAAGCCAGAGAGGTGGGAATGGGGTATGGTTGAGATTTTGGACTTTGCTGTGAACCAGGAAGACAGTGGGGAATTTTGAGGAAGGACATATCTGATTTAAACTTTAGAAAGATGTTAAAAATGTTAAACCATAACGGATAAAAACAAGTGCTAAAATAAAAGGTATATAGTATACAAAATTGGAAAAAATAGGAACAACTATATAGTTAGATTTGCACAACTGAGGGGATTTCAATCCTACATCTAGTTTTGTTTTTTTCAATGCACCATTGAAGCTGAATTTCCCTTTGTTTGGTTTGTTTAAAAACAAGATGATCCACATGACCTGTTCCTGCTTTCTGCAACCTCCTCCGCCCTCTTCCACCTCCCGAGCCCCAGCCCACTCTACTCTGGTTCTCACCAGTCACCCCTTCACATCTTGGGCCTCTGCACTTTTGGCAACTCTGCCTGAAATAATCCTCCCCCAAAGTCTGCAGTTTTGGCCCACTTCTCCCTTAGGCCTCTGCTCAAACATTCCCTCAGTAAATAAATCTTTGCCAACCACCCTCCCTGAAGTGGTGCCCCCTGCTGCTCCCTCCTCTCCCGGTCAGTCCCCACAGCACTGACCCAGACTGTCAGCTTTGCAGAGGCTTTTGTGGCTGTGGAGGTGCAGGCTGGTGTATTTGTCACTTTCCCACTAGAGCCTCAGCTTCGTGCGGGCAGGGCCCCCAGGGGTCTTGTTCACTGCTGTATCTGCAGATCCTGCCACGGAACCCAGGAAACAAGGGTTCAAAAAATTCTTGTGGTAGAAATCAATGAAGGAGGCTGTATGCTCCTTCCTCCATGGTCCAGAAGGTCCTCAGGCAAGGGCCCGGCTCCCCAGCCTAGAGCTTCCCAGAGCCTACAGCTGGAAGCCATCTGACTCCTGTGCACAGGCCAGTCCTGCTCTGTGTATGAAAACAATCCTACCTCTAGGGGGGAAGAATTTGAAGAATTCTAATTAGCAGCATGCGTGACTTGGCATCAACTAGCCCCTGCTCCCAGGGCTGCTCTGATCTTGTGTCCCCATTATAGAAACTATTATTCCAGAATCCAGCCCCCTACTTGCCCACCATTCCCCTAAATGGGTCTCTGCTTTGACCTCACCAGTGCTCCTAAGGTCAGAGTCGGCACCTACAGAGACCCATCCTGAAACCTGTACATACCCTATGCACGTGAGCACTTCTGCTTCCCCATGACCTGTCCCCACTGGCCCACTGCCCACCTGGCCACAGTGCCTGCCAGGTGCCAACACTGTGCCTGCCCCAAGACACCTCCCACCCCCTGTGGTGAGGGGTCCCAGGACCCAGTGTTCACGGCTAGTCTCCAGATCATGGGACCCCTGTTTTCTTTAAAAGAGTAACTATTGGGACTATTCTTCAGGGAAAACACAAAGCTGGCTTAGAACTGGCTGATACATATAACTTACTGGGAACATGAGAAACTTCCCAGTGATTTACAATTACTCTGCATGGGACAAAACACGAGGTGTTTCACATGTGAGGCTACAGTTTCTGATACCATCACCACAGTCCAGGGTGAAAAGTCAATCAACCCATTCCTCCTTGTGAAACCACACATTCTCTTGGGAATGGTCTATCCACTCAATCCAATCCATCCCACTTCTCCATTCTTACACAGTGGGATACAACATACTTGCTCAAAGGACTCTCGGCACAACACTTTGCTTCTCTGTATCTAAGGGCTTTCTCTCTCTTTTTTTTTTGATTATGTAAAAGGTTTTTCCTTATTATAGAATATCGAGGAAAGAGTGAAAAACTGTAGAGAATATTTTTTGATAGTACATTTTTAATCATTCAAAATTGCCAAAAAAATTACTAAGTTTAACCTACTGCTTCCAGTCTGTGTTCATACATCTTAAAATACCTATATAGTCAGATAATACCTATACCATCACCACAGTCTGGGGTGAAAAGTCAATCAACCCATTCCTATATTATATAGGTAACCTGGCTTTTTAATAATTAAAATCATAGTATAAACATTACTTCTCCATGTTAGCTTCAAACTCCTCCTAAACATCACTTACATCCTGCAGAGATTTATCAAATTATTTCCCCTTCCACAAAACATTCAGATCCTCATTATTATAATTTATCTTATGTATATATGTAGGCATGTTCAGATTTATTTTGAGATGATAAAGAACTTGGAAGAGATGCCAAAAGTACCATGATTACCGAGTCTCACAGCCCAGGAATGGTGCTGCTGATGTATTTTGGCATGAGGACAAGCCTCATGCTTCTGCTGAGCATCCCAGCACCCCGCCTGCCCTCACCTGCCACAGTGAACCACTACAGCAACCAGGTCGTACATGCGGTCCAAGTTCACGGCATCACTGGAGGTGTTGAAGAGCCGCAGTTCCAGTGGGAAGACCACGCGGTAGGACAGCTTGGTGTACCTGTGGAGCTGCTCCATGTACTTGAACCGCTTTAGATGCAGTGCCAAAATCATGGGCAACTTTTTCACTCTCATTCTAAGAAACCACAGAATAGAAAATCAGTGGTACCCAGTACCTGGTAAGGGAACAGAGCACCGCTGCCTGTACACATGGAGAGCAGGGGGCATCCTAACAAACTTCAAGCCAGCAAATAACCAAACCATTTGCAAGAATAAAAGTATGCTCACTTCTGTAGAGCTGACTTATCCCAGCTCAGCTAACTGAAGTACAGCCAGTGAGATAAAAGTGCATCAGCAGGTCTCAGGTCCAAGGAGCCATTCCAGAATTTCTGTGCCAATAAAAATATGATGTGCAATTGTTCTCTGTTACTGCCCTCTTCCTCCCATGGAAGGACAATATTTGGACAATCCTCTCACTCGAGATCATGGAGAGGAGGTTTTGAGAAAAGGAAGTTGGGAAAAAGACAAGCATTGGGTGTGGTCTGGGTTTCCAGGTTCTGAGGACTAGTGGGGACACTTCAGACATGGCGCTTGTGACCATCAGAAAACGGGGCATGCTAGGCTTGGCCTCATTCCTAATTCCTCTGCTCTTGGGCAAGTTATTTCCCCTCCGGAGCTCTCAGTTTCCTCATTCATAAAATGCAGGGATTGGGTTTTGAGAAATTCTGCTGTAAAGGAACTTTCGTTTTCTTCTGTTTGATGTGGCATTTCCCCATTTTCATAAACACAGAAAGCATTTTTCACTAGGTAACCATTAATATTCCTTGGAAAAAGGCACAAAGATGCCCATTTGTGCAGATAACTCTGCCAGAACAGAGGATCTTCCAGGACCCCTGTTGTATGAATGTCCTGATCTAGGTAAATGCAGTTCAGTTTGTGTACGTTTCAGTCTAGGTTATTTGAGAAGGACAGATTTTAAGAAAATTACTCAGTAACCTATTGAGGTAAAACCCTGTTCATGAAAATAAGCAAAATAACAACATCAACAGAATACAAGAATTATGGACGACCCCATATTCTTCAGGAACACATGACATTTTAACGAATAAACCTCCAGGGCTGAAGAGGAAACACCTTCGTGTCCTGTAGGAAGACCTGGGCAGCTGCAGGCAGACTTAGCTTCTAAGGATGGGGAGCAGAGGTGAGCTCCCCAGGCCATTAACAAAAGATACCCACCACCTCCCCTAGGAGTGGCACAATCCCTACCTAGCCTTTTTAAATTTTGACACAGCAAGGAAGGTGAGCGTGTTTGGGGTGAAAAGGTAGGGAGGCTGGACAGAGACATCATTTCAACCTCAGCTCTAGATCCCTGAGGGTTTCAGATGGTTTTCGGCAGCATTGAACATCTGCAAGTTACCTTTAATACTCCACAACCACTGGCAGGGTAAACTAAACTCGCAGGAAGGATAACTAAAATGTCTAGTTTCTTGACTAGGATAATCTTGGACTGTCCAAGAGCTGTACCTGGTGCTGGTAAAACAATGAGCAACCTTGGGTCCTGTATCAGTTCACAATGTGATGGCCTTGTTATTATCACCTATCCTTATAACTGATGTTATTGATTCCCTGTGATTCTTTATTAAGTGATTAACTTTTTTAAGCTCTTAGGTTTCTAATAAGTTCTAGTATTTAGGCAATACTAACAATATTGGGTGTCTATTCTGTGCTACACACTGAGTCCTTTTCATAATTTGTCTTTAATCCCAAGAGGATAGCAATTACATCTGATCACCATTTGCTTACCCAGCACAGTATCTGATAAGAGCACTCAACAAATATTTGTTGAATGAAGGAATGAACACATAATTGAATGACTAGATGAAATGACAACTGCCCACAGTAGGCATTCTTATCCTAGTTTCACCAGGAAGGAAGGGAAATGACTTCTCCAAAGCTGCTGGGCCATGAGCCCATGGAACTGGGATTCGAAATCAGATCTGTCAGGCTCCGGAGTCTGGTCCCTTTTCACAACACAAAGCTAGGCCCTGAGCAGAACCCTTCACGCACCTCTTCTGGGCCTCCTGTTTGCTGCAGCATGTTTCACAGTAATACTTCTGTTCACTACACAAAGTTTCTGTGTTGCTGAAGTCTCTGTAGAGAAAAATATTTTCAACTTAAAAACAAGGTCCAAAATTACTTGGTTTGCCATGTTTTAAATCCTCTGTTCCCTGTAGCGTATTCTTAAGTGAGTGTGGGTGGAGAAGCAATGAGCGGAGACCTTCTCCCAAATAGGCACTATGACTGGGTATGATGGCCCAACAAAAGAATTTCCCAAGCTTTATTTAATGGGACAGAGACAGATATAAATTAGGATTTCCAACTGATTTAGGAAAAACTCAAAGTTTTGTAAGGATATAATTTATAATACCTGTATACATATACCTGTACACTGGAGATTAAAAATTTTCTAACTATATATAGCAAAAGCCCATTGTTACTTACGGTCAGGCTTAAAAAAGTCAATCACATAAAATTCAAGATGATATTATTGTGCAGTTAATGAAAAACATGTCCCAGGTGGTCTATATTTTCCAACAGCACAAAAGTAAACACAGTGAAATTTAAACCATATACAACTGCCCCTATATGGAACTAAGAGGCCCAAACTATCAGGAGATGACTACTTGCCACCAACCCTCCTGCCCACACCCCAGAAAAACTCCAGCTTGCTTCCTTTTGAGAGCAAATGCCATTGTGATGTGTATCTGTATCTGCCTTATCATGAGGTTTTACTGCACTGCATATCATTTTCATTTTTTAAATGTCAGCTTTTCATTCTTTTCTGGTCACAGAGATTCTACTTAACACCCTTTGGTACTGCTTTGAAGGCTAAAAAGAACATCCAGAAAATAATGACACCTGAAGTCTTGAGAAAGTCTGATATTCCCTTATTCATAGGGAATGACCTAGCACCAGGATGATGGGATTTTATTAAACAGAAAGGTTACTTACATGGTGTTAATGACTCACCACTTAGAGCTTATCAAACAAAAACACAGACTGTTCATGCATTAAATCTTCAAACATTTACTGACAGTGCTCTGGGCTTGGTGCTGGGGATTTGCTGCCCTCACACAGCTCATGGTCTAACAGACACATGTGAGGAAATTAAACATAAATCATTTCACATGATTCCCTTAGCTAAACCCCCAACAGTTCCTCGGCACTTAGGGATAAAATCCACATTCCTTGCCACTGCAGTCCTCAAACCCACTACTCTTCTGACCTCATCTCCCACCCCATCCCACCCCCATCCCCCTGCTCCTGCCCTCCAGAGTGCCACACTCTTCCTGCCTCGGGGCATTTGCAGGAGCTGCTTCCTCCACACTAACAGCTTCTTCCCAGATGCTTCCATGGCTCATGACCATGATATGTCTGTCGCCTCTTGGGAGAAGACATCCCTATCCACTCTCTCCAGCCCACCCACCCCCATCTTGTTCTGTCTTGTTTTCTTCTGAGCACTTATCACTATCTGAAACCATCCTCTATTCATTTCATTACCTGCCTCCCCTCTCAGTGGGCAGGCACTCACCTCTACAGCCCAGCACTGAGAAGTGGCCCCATACATCATGGCATTTAATATTTGTCGGCTGAATGAAGACAGAAGCATGTGTATCAGCCCAGCGGAAAGAAAGCACCAAGGAAGGAGATGTGAACTTGACCTGGGGTAACTCAGGAGGTTTCCCTGAGTAGCAGTATCTGAGTCAGGTTCTCAAAGAGGGAAAGTGAGCCTGGTGGGGAAGAGTCAGGGAGTCCAGATTGAGCGAATGCATGGCACAGCAGAAGGGCTGGAAGGGGCTGAGAAGCAAGGAAACAATCTGGAAGTCACTTACACTCAACCCTCAAATTTTGATGCCTGCACCAAAGGCTTGGTGTGCAATACAGACTCAGACAGCTGAATGAATCTGGGCTGGCTCTTCAATGGAGTAACTGACATGAAACCTTCCCTCACCTGCACAGGATTTACTCGGGCGGAATGGGAGGATGCCGAAAGAAGGGGAGGGGAGAGTTTGGGTGATGGTGGGGATTCGCAGCCTTGAAATGCCTACCACAGACAGTTTCATGCAGCTAAAGAAACAGAACAACCAAGGCAAGCACAGCCATTAACAAGGAAGTCAACACATTTTAGTCCCACTTTTTTCAAAGAAAGTTTTTGAAGTATTTATAGACTGTGGATAAAATGAGAGTTCCTGTGGCCAGGATTCTCACCTGGCCCTGGTTGACTAGCTCACTGCACACCTGTGGGCAATACATGGCTGTTGACTCTATATAAAGAGCTCCACCCAGTGCTCTGGGCATGACATGGTGGTACGGCTGCAAGGCTGCAGGAGAGCAGAGCAGAGGCTGGAGTGGTGGCAGCACGGAGGACAGAGGCCTAGAGGACGGCTGTGCAGAGAGGCCCAGAGGATGGCTGTGTGGGACTGTGCAGAGAGGCCCAGAGAACGGCTGTGCACGACGGCTGTGCAGGCAGAGAGGCCCAGAGGACGGCTGTGTGGACAGAGGGGCCCAGAGGCAGAGACCAGCTTGCTGCATGCAGACTTGCTCTGAGTGAACAGGATTTTAGTGACTGACCTGCCATCTGGAAATAAAGTTGGGTATGACCCTTTCACCCCAATAACATTTTGCTATCAATTTCTTTGGTCACATTGAATCCATAGCGAACTTGCCCAGGACTAAAACCCATTGGCAAGACAATTAGCATAGTCGGCAGGATTCATTGTTGACCAAGGAAAAGGACAGGCTCCCCTTATGGGAGGGGTACTTCAGCGGGCTGCCCCCTGTGAATGGGGAGATATTGGATTGTCCCCCAATTGGTATGTGGTCTGAGGTGGCTTGCCTCCTAGAGGACTGGCCCCCACTCCAGGAGGCAAGTGGAGGTGACACCTGAGGCTGTAGGGGTGGCCCTTGGTATAATAAGCAGATCCTTTGAGAAGCAGAGTACCAATGAGGCAGTGGGGACTGTGGATTGGCTGCTTGTCACAGTATTTAAAAAGTCTACAGAGGAGACCCAAGAACGCGAGCTGCAAACCTCTGTGGATTCCCTGAGGAGGGAGATGGCCTTGATGCAGGAGGAGGCAGCATGAGAGCATCAGAAGCAAGGTGCCATTGGAGACGAGACAGCAGTGCTGCCAGGTGTTCTGAAGGAGGAAGAGGCCATCAAGGAAAAAGACAAGCTCCTGAGGGGAGCGCAGGCAGAGGTGGCACGAGAACATCAGCTGTGAAGCATTGAGCTGAGGGTAAGAGACCTTCTGAAGACTGAGGTAGCATTGCTGCAAGGCACAGTAGAAAAGGTAAAGATTGTAGCAGAGGAGGCACTTGGGGGAGGAGAGAGAAAGGTGCCATCAGCCCCAGAAATGGAGGAGCTGGAGAAGGATGAAGGGACGGTGCCTCCAAGTATTGAAAGCATGCCCAGTGGTTGTAAAAAAAAAATAAAGAGCCAGCAGCTTAAAGTTCCCCAAGGAGAGGAGCGGCCCCCTCCCCAGGTCATGGAGCACTCTATGGTCCGTTGCTATACTCAGGCTGAGCTGGTGGCTGTGGGACTTAGAGGTGGATGGAATTGTTCTGTTGGGATCAGAGATGGGAAAGCTGTCTTCCCTGACAGTGCAGCCTGCCCTTGAGGCAGCGATTACAAAATGCGAGGTGACACATACAGTAGCTGAAAGAAATAACCCGGAAAGAAATAAGACCTGTTACTCACAGGAGGAATTTGAGGGGCCTCTTGAGGGTTACGAGGACCCAGATGTGGGATGATTTGATACGGGCAGGAGTAGATGGAAGGAAATTAAGACGGGAAGCTAAATAGGATCTTACTGGAGCTATGGCAACAGCTGAAACCAGAGTAGCAGTTCCAGCCATTAAGACCAAAGAGGCAGAGGTCAGAGACAGAGACACGAGTCCAGCCTGTGTGTCTGCAAGACTTTTTGCTGGAGAAGCTGGAGAACAATGTTCGAGTTTCCTTGCACAGGGACCATTGCAGAGGACTAAGGGCACATAGATTGAGAGGAGAGGATCCTGGAGGGGTGGAATGTGGATAAAATGAGAGTTCCTGGGGCCAGGATTCTCACTTGGCCCTGGTTGACTAGCTCACTGCACACCTGTGGGCAATACATGGCTGTTGACTCTATATAAAGAGCTCCGCCCAGTGCTCTGGGCACGACACAGTGGCACGGCTGCAAGAGAGGAGAGCACAGGCTGTACGGGACAACTGTGCAGAGAGGGCCCAGAGGATGGCTGTGCGGACAGAGGGCCCAGAGGCAGAGACTGGCTTGCTGCCTGCAGACTCACTCTGAGTGAATGGGATTCTAGTGACTGACCTGGAAATAAAGTTGGGTATAGCTCTTTCACCCCAAGAACGTTTTGCTGTCAATTTCTTTGGTCACATTGAAACCATAGAGAATTTGCCTGGGCTGAAACCCACTGGCAAGACATAGACCCAGATTGGAAGAAATACAGTAAAAATTAGTACCTAATGTGTAAAACCCGATTTACGAATAACCACCATCCTGCCCGGCCCCAGCTGGCTGGAGGCTCAATGCCAAGAGAGGCGGGGTGACACTGTTAGGGCATCTGTGAGCTGAGAACTGGAAAGTGGGGCTGAGTTAGGAAAGGCAATGACCCCAGCAGGCAATGGTGAGGCACAGCAGGTCTGTAGGTTGACACTGTACAGTTGTTGGAACAAAAACCAGGCAACAAAGGTTGATGAAACTTTCAACAGGAAAGTCAAAGAGGAGAAAGAGGGTAGAAAGGCCTTCCTGAGAGTTGGGATAAATTACCAAAGCACAGAGGCTGATGGAAAAGTAAAAACTCTTTGTATTTCTTTAAAAAGAGTCAACTAGCAATAAAACATTATTCAAAAATGTATTTCAGGAAGCAATCTAATAGGAAACACAAGTCTTTATAAAGGAAACTATAAAACCTATGTAAATATATACAAGAGTACTTGAAAAAATGAAGAAACACTACATTCCTGGATGGGAAGGCTCTCTGTTGTAAAGTCAGCTATTGTGTCCAAGTTAATGTCTACATTTTTAATTACAATCTTAACTTGTCCATACAACAGTTTAAAAGGATTTGAAAAAAAAAGTCTCGAACAATGATTCCCAGTAATTTTCATGTCATGATCCACATAGAAAATGATACTAGAGGACTGCTGGGGTAAACCAACACAGCTGCTCCCACGGCTAGCCGCAGGGCTCTGGCACCTCCAGGCTCTGCCTAGCCTCCCAGAAACAGAGAGGTCTATACACCCCTGTAACTTAATTTCCTGGCACACCAGTTGGAGAGCTTTGAAAACAATCACAAGGTCTAATGCCACCCCTTTTCCCCAACCCCTCCAACCTCCCCCACCCCCCACCATCAATTACATCAGAATCTCTTCAGGTAGAATCCAGGCATTCTTGTTCTTAAAGCTTCCCAGGTGGTTCCAAAATATGGCCAAGGCTGACAGCCCTATTCCCAAAGCTTTGCAAAGGTTACTATGCCTTTGAATCACCTGCAGAGCTTGTCAAAATGCAGATGCCAATTCATTCATTGCTGGGGAAGACCTGAGATGCTGCCCTTCTAGTGAGATCCCACATGGGTCAATGGTGCTTGTCCACAGACCCCTGTTTGAGAAGCAAAGATCTAGAGCAATGGTTCTCAAGCATTGCTTTTATTAGAATCACCCAGAACATGAATTAAAAATAGAGACCCAGACTCACCAACATTGAATATGGGTGGGCCCCTATTTTTATCAACTTCTCCAGGTGATTCTGATACACACCAGAGCATTAAAGATTATAAAAAGAAATCCATGAGAAAGACATATGTCTCAGATATTAGACAATACCCTACATATATCAATAACCAAACTCAAAACACAGGTCAGAGAAGCAGAACAGACAAACTAATAAATAAGCAAGCGGCAATGGATGTGTGGTAGGGATGTATATGAACTCAGTACATAAAAGAACTTTCTCAAAATGAGAAAAGGAATTGTTTTATAAAGATTAATTTTTACACACCTATGTTTACTGTAGCATTATTTATAATAGCCAACATATGGAAGCAACCCAAGAGCCCATCAATAGATGAATGGATAAAGAAGAGGTGGTACATATACACAATGGAATATTATTCAACCATAAAAAAGAAGATCTTGCCACTTGCAACAACATGGATAAACCTACAGGTTATCATGCTAAATGAAATAATTCAGAGAAAGACAAACATCATATGATTTCACTTACATACATGGGATCTAAAAAGCAAAACAAAAAAGAAACAGACCCATAAATACTGACAAGAATGTCAGTAACATAGGGGAGGGGTGGGAGGATGGGTAAAATAGCTGAAGGGGATAAAGAGGTACAGACTTCAAATTATAAAATAAATTAGTCATAGGAACACAAGTATAGCATAGAGAATATGACAAATAACATTGTAATATCTTGGTATGATAGTAGGGGGTAACTATATGTACCAGGGTATTTAGTGATGTATATAGTTATCAAATCACTATGTTGTACATCTGAAACCAATATAATATTGTATACTAACTGTATTCCAACAAAAAAAGTTTTTTTTAAGATTAATTTTTAAAAATAGAGCTTTGGGAGAATTAAAAGGTCCCTTTCCTCCTAATACCTACCTGGCTTCCCTAGCACTGCGAGGATGGGCATTTACAATGAGACAATGACAGAGGAAGGGAAAGTGGCTCTAGAATACCAGGCACTGAGCAGAAAGCTACATTTCTGTGAAGGAGCCACAGGGAAGGACGAAGGTACTAAAGTGGGAAACAAAAGATGCCCAAAAGGCCATGGAAGGCTAATTAAGATAAACTTCACATTTTTTAAGTTTTTGCTTGAGGCCATCCTTGAACTTTTCAAAAGACCCCAAAAAACCCTCTTCTCAGTGTCCTCCGATGATACAGATGGCTCACCTTGCCCAAGACACAGTACTGGGGTTTGAGATCCTAGAATTATAGTTCAGGTACAATAGGGACTTAGTGACTCCTCTAGCCCTGTATTCTGAATTTGATCACTATTTATATCATCATTTCTCTGTGAGAAAAGTTCAGTGAAAACACATAGTGATCAACACCTAAAGCCATCCTGGAAGTAAGGGGCAGATAGCTTACATTCAAATCCCACAATTTTAGCTTGACTTCTAATTTTTTTCATCATCAAAATAAGTGAAAGATAAAATATCACATCAGGAGAGATATGCAGATGTCATGTGAAGAAGAAAATTCATAATTCTAATTTTAAAAAACAAACCCTCAAAAATGCAAATCAAATTAAACCATGAGAAGAGCCAAAAAGATTAGGATTATTTCTCCTCTGTTGTTTCAGAAAAAGCTGGCATCATTTATTCCCCAGGCCTTTCTCTCCTGCACTTCATTCTACTGGCATAGCCTGGAAGGCTGTCACTCCCACCCCAGAACTCTCAATGGCGCATGGCAGGCGTGCAGGCTTCTCCACAATTACACTGGGGAGGTGAGATCTCAGGCATGTGTGACAGCAGCTATAGGTAAGCCAGTGGGCTCTAATTTAGGGCTAATGTCAAATGCGAGTGGGCAGACACTCTGAGAGTATCAGCCTGGACAGTCTAATCAGATGAGAATCTAATGTTGTTTAAAAGGCTCCGAGGCTGTACTCATCCAATGCAGCTTCAACATTTCTAAACGCCTCTAACCTGCCTTCACCAAGTAAGCAGTATGACCAGTATGTATATACATTTCTCCAGAAAAAAAACAAAAACATGAATCTGGGTTGCATTTCTTTGTAACAAGGTTCCCAAGGATTGAAATGATAACTAACCAGTTAGCCCTTTACCTGGTTAAGATCTCAAAGCTACAGCCACCGCCATCTGCCCTTTTGAACAGTCCAGGAATTTCTCAGAAGGGAGGGGAAGCAGTCAACGTCCTAATTCAATTCCACCCCTCCCACCTCCCCTCTCAAAAACGGGGGATGGGCGAATAACACCTTTCCTCCCATTCCCTCATCTGCAACAACAGCTGGCACAACCTTGACTATTTCCACTCCCTGTGAACATAAAACCTTGGAGAAATAAAAATGGCTGCTTTGCATAGGAATATTAGCAACTGATGCCATAAAAAGAACCATTCAGAAGAAGAAGCCATCCTAGCCTACAAAACACTTCACAAAGAGATAGTTAACTTGTCCTAGATACCCGGACCAAAGGCATCTGGAGACTAAGGGTGAAATTCCAAAGCAACAGAAGTGCTGAGGTAACCAGGCAACTATAGCACAGGCAAAGAGAAGGGGACCGAAGACCCCAGGGGAATGGAGACCCAGCCCCATATACTACACCCAGGTGAGCCATGAAGCCCTTTGTCCTGAAAGATGACTCTCCGGCAGTTGACCACCTCAGCAAGCCCCTTTAATTTATCCTTCCAGAAGGTTCCAGGTAACCCAGACTCCTTTACTGACAGTGCTGTCACCTGATTCCTACTGATAAAAATCAACAGTGCTGTGTTACAACGCTATAAAACATCTGTGAGCCGCAGTATCCTAAGCAATGGGGAGGCTTCCCCTGACCACGCAGTCTATACTCACAACCCCCACCCCTGCCACCCGCCACTATCTGGACTCATTTCATTTCCCTCAGAGTACTGATTGGATCATCTGCGGATTCCCTAGAATGTAAGTGCTGTGAGAGCAGGGACTGTGTCCGTTCACTCCTCTATCCCCACTGTCTAGACCAGGGCTGGGCTGATTATAAGTCCCCCATGACCTCGTGCTGGAAGTCAGAGAGGAAAGAAGGGATTAAGAAGGGGAAAAAAGAACCATGTCTTTATTCCAACTCTGAGCACATTTTTAACATACACATCAATATGCATCCCCATGGTAATCCTGGGTGTGCACTGTTCTTATGCTCTGGGCTCCTTACCTCTCTCAAACCTAACGAGGAGGGTTTTCGTTCCACCAATGATCTCCATACAGTGCTGAAAGATGGAGAAAAAGGCAATTCCCTCATGGTTCTCAGTGCAAAGGTGCATACTTTTTAAAATAATAGATTGGCTTAGAAAGAGTAATGGTAGGCAGCTGTAGCACTGTGTGATTGTGTGTGCATGAGAGACAGAGACTGATGAAAACCAAAAGCACACATTGATTATTAAGGATTAAAAACTTATTTTTAAAATTAGTGACTAATGACTTCTACTCAATCCTCTCTCTTCTCAGCAGACTCTTCTCCAGACCACATATGCCTATTTTTAATTTCTCTTGGGAAGAAAGATATAGAAAATAATAGGATTATGTTGGTCTAACAGGAAGATTACAGGATCTCCTGTAAATACAGGATTCCTCCCCCAACTTATTTACTAGACTACTGATAAGCTCAGACCGCAGTCAGAATTCATGAGGTTACCTCAGACAGTGGGTAATAGACGTATTCTGCTCCACATCAACAGAAAGATCAAGAAAATCTTCATCTTTGCTACTAACCTGAAGCAAAAAAATAAAAAAAAAAGAAAGAAAGAAACTGTTAGGCACAAAATACACAATGGACATAGTAGATAAAACTTTAAACACTTACAAGTAACCAAAACCCAAACTGCTGTAATAATGTGCAGTTTGGGGTACTCACTGGCAACAAGGGTTACCTTGAAAGAAACCAATCTAGAGAAATTCCCAAATTCTCAATTTAACCTTTTCCCTATCCCAGCTCTGATTCAGAACCTTTAATGCTGAAAACTCAACCAGATTTCACTTCCATTCCATTCTTTTCCCTCATCGTTTCATGGGAGGAAGTATCAGACAAATGTCCATACAGCCCAAACTGGCAGAATAAAAATAGAAAAAGAAAAAGGACAAGAGACTTAGAAAACCCACTACTCAGCTGATCAGCCCTTCATGAAACTGTCTGCACTTTCTGCTAGGCCTTTGAAATCACACCCTTCCCCCGACGCCTCCTCAGACTCTGTGTGGGGCCCTGGGAGCTTCACATGCAATGTGCTGGACACTCACACTAGCCACCCATTCAGCTGTCCCTTAGCCCAGAAGGGGCTGCCATTTGCAAAGCCCTGTAGGGCCTGTGATAGCAGTCGACCTGGCACGGGCCTGGGGCCTTACTCTGGGCCACTCTCCATGGTACCAGCCACTGGCCCAGGTGTTTCTCAGTGACCCACAGTTCACACCACACCAACTGTGGGTCTCCCACTGATGGAAGCTCCCTCATGAGTACAAGCTTACATTCCAGCAGTTCAGAAGCAAGCCTGGTATTTACACTGTCTTGGAGTATGAGGGACAGACTAGCCCAGCAACAACCTTGAAGTCCCAGTCAATTGGCAGCAAAATAAAAATAATATAAGTGTGACAACCTTCCTACAACCCAGTACTCCGCTGCTAGGAAATGATCTAAAGAAACATTCAGAGATGTGGCCACAACCTTTTATACTTTCATTAGCATACACAGAATGGGTATTGAAACAGACTGTCCTGCATCATATCCTGTCCCTGCTACTTGTTAAGTGGATGACTGCAGGCTAGTTCCTTAGCCTCCCCATGCCTCAGTCTTCCCAGCTGTTAAGTGGGGACAGTAAGAGTATCTATTTCTTAAGGTCGTTGTAAGGATGAAATAAGACAACACAAAGTACTTTGAAAAGTAAGCATTTAATATGTCAGGAATGGGTAAAAAATTTTAAATGGCTTAAAATGGTCAAAGAGTTGGGAACTGTTTATGACATTGGGGGTATCATATTAAATGAACAAGTAGGCTATACAACTACATATAATTTCAATTTTGTATATAAAAGATGTGTATATTTATACACATACACCTGTTCTACCATACTCCTTTAATTTTTTTTATGACACTTATTAGTTATGATAGAATGCACAAAAGGCCCCAAATCTTCACCACTGCCTACATTGGTTTGTTTGCCACATGACTTCACAGATCCTCTCATCAAGAGGTATACTTCCTTGAGTCTGAGTTCAGTCACATGACTTGCTTTGGCCAGTGGATGTTGGATGACATGTAATAAGCAGAAGCTTGAACTGGCACTTGTGAAATTGCTTACATTTTTGTCTCAACAACAAGGATAAGCCCAGGCTAGCCTACTGCTCCCAGGGAGAGGAGAGAACTATTGAAGAGAGCTATTCTCACTAAGAGGCCCCAGACAAGTCCATCTAGAGCAACACCCCCAGCTGGCCTGCAGACACACAAGTGAGCCATCTAAAATACAAATACAAACACACAAGTTCAGCTTCGTCCAGCCTAGATCAGCCAAGCATTAGCCAGCTCAGAGTTGCAGGAATTATAATAAAAATAGTTCACTTAAGCCTCAGAGTTTTGGGTTGATTTGTAACAAAGCCTAATAGATAACACACACAACTACTTAACATTATGAATGTTTTCTTTTTATTTATCTGTCTCTCCCTTACAAATATGAAAGTTCAATGCACTGGCTTCAGTAACTGTCTGGAAGTAAGAGCCTATCATTCCAACACTCTTCTAGAAAACTATAAACTCAGATGACTATAAATAAAAGCGGCTACCTGAAAGCATTAGAGAGTAAATGCTAACAGGCAGATGGGTAGTCCTTGGAGGGGACAGTGGCACAGAATGAGGGGCTGGTTTCACAGCGTTTATCTGGGGGTCTGCAGCAGAACGAATGCAGTCTTTCTGAATCTGGGAAACCATGTCCGCTGGAAAGAAGGAAAAGAATCTAAGAGGGTATCCCTAACTATGTCTTGTCACATCTTTGGCTGACCCCCGAGCCACACAGGCACAGCGTACATGCACAGCAACTCAACTAGAGACAAAAGGGTGATAAAAGATTCAAGCTGCCACCTAAGAAACAGGGTTTGTAGTTTTGAGTCCAGTCAAATAAATGCCTGTAAAAACTTAAAAAAATGCAATACTTAATGATAAGCAATAACAGAATCCATAGTCTCTCAAAACTTTACATTCTCAATGTCCTAAATTTATAAGATTATAAACTTATAATATGTGAAGAACCAGGAAAATGGATGACATTCTGAAAAAACTATTGAGACATATTTTTGGATGATCCCAATGTTGGAATTAGCAGACAAGGATTTTAAAGAAGATACTATAACTATTTTTGGTAAAATGAAATATATTCATAATGAACAAAAAATAAGAAATCTCAGCAGAGAAACATACAAAAAATCAAATGGAAATTCTAGAACTGAAAAATTAATATACTAGATAGACAATAACAAACTGGAGATAGAGAAAAAGAGCAAATGGACTTGAAGACAGATCAGTGGAAATTATCCAATGAGAAGACTATAGGGAAACAAAGATTGAAATAAAAGTTAAACACTCAGAGACCTGTCAGATGATATCATACATAGAGCTGGAGTCCCAGAAGAGGAGGAGAGAATACAGCAGAAAAACTATTTGAAAAATAATGGCTGAGTATTTCCTAAATCTGGTGAAAAATATACATTTACAGATTAAAGATACTCAACAAACACTAACAGGTTAAATTCAAAGAAGGCCAACCAAGGCACATCATAGTCAAACTACCTTAAACCAAAAGCAAAGGTAAATCTTAAAAACATACAGAGAAAAATAACCCATTATAAAGGAATGATTCAACTGGAAACTGACCTCTCATCAGAAATTATGGAGGGCAGCTGACAGTGGAACAGAATATTTAATATGCTTAAAAAAAACTATCAATGCAGAATTCTTATATTCCATAAATATATATCCCTCAAGAATGAATGAAAAATGAAGAGAATTCATCATTAATAGACCTGCACTACAAGAAAAGTTAAAATAAGTTCTTCTAGTCAAAGGGAAATAATAACAGATGGAAATCTAGATCCTCAAGAAAGTATGAAGAGCATCAAGAATGGTAATTGTGACATTGTCGTCTGGGGTTTATAATATACATAGTGAAATACATATAAGAACTAGAGCACAAATGACAAGGTAGGGCAGGGGTGGAAGGACTACACACTTACCCAGTCATAAGCTTTCTGTGTTTTATGTCAAATAGTAACATTAGTAACTGTAAGTAGACGGTGAGAAGTGAAGAATGTACACTGTCATCTCTAACAGTCACTAAAAAACAACATACAAAGATATACTATGGTGAAACTGAAAATGGAATTGTAAATACACACACACACACACACACACACACACACACACACATATGATCAAATTTTTTTTTTAAGTGGATAAAGAGAAACAGAAGTACAAAAATCTGAGGGGGGATAAATAGAAAACAAGTAATAAAATGGAAGCCCCAAACCCAATCATATCAATAATTACATTAAATATCAATGGAATAAACATTTCAAGTAAAAGATAAAATTTCAGAATGGATCTTTTTAAAAAGCAAGGCCAGCTATATTCAGTCCATAAGATCCATATTTTAAATATAAAGACACAGATTGAAAGTAAATGGATGAAAAAAGATACACTCTGTGAAGAGTTAACATAAGTATGTAGAAAGTTTTATTAATATCAGATAAAGTAGATTTTAGACAAAACTATTGAGACAAAAAGAAAAATGGTATTTCCTAAAAATTGAAATAAATTTCTAGTCAATTTACTAGAAAAAAATAATAACAGTATGGAAGCTCCTCATAATAGTATATGAATTATATACCTCAACAAAGCTTGTTTTTTAAAGCGAAAAACTCATAAAGCAAAACCTGACAGATTAGAAGGAGAAATAAGGCAATCTCACAATCAGATATTTTAATACTCCTTGCTCAGCAAGAGACAGAAAAACTAGGGGGGAAAATATCAAGAAAAACAGAGGATCTGAATAAACCATCAAACACCATGACCTACTGACAATTATAGAATACTATACTCAATAACTACAAAATATACATTCTTTCCAACGCAGTGGTTCTCAGCAAGGGAACTTTTCCTTTGAGGGGACATTTGGCAATGTCTGGACACTACTAGCTTCAGGGAGGTAGAAGCCAGGGATGCTGCTGTATATCCAATAATGCACAGGGCAGCACCCAACAAAAGTTATCTGACCTAAGAATTATCAACAGGGCTCAGAGACCCTGTTTTCAAGTACATTTACCAGGATAGATCATGTGTTAGGATACAAAACATGTCATAATAAATTTCAAAAGTTTGAAATCATACAAAATATATTCCCTAACTGTAAGATTAAGTTCTAACTTGGTAACATTAAGATATTTAGGAAAATCCCAAAAGTTAGAGAATTAAACAACATACATTGAAGTAATACATGAATCAAAGAAAAAAAAATCATAAGAAATTATAAAATATTTTGAACTAATAACAAAGATATCAACATTTGCGGGATGTAGCTAAAGCAATCCTTACAGGGAAATTTATAGCTTTAAATGTGAATATGAGTAAACAAAAGAAGAGGGACTATCTTTTCTGTCTTAACTGCTATATCCCTACTAACTAAAATAATTTCCATCATTTCGTAGATACTACTTAGTAAATGAATGAATACATAACT